CTGTGCCTGGCACAAAGTTCCACCATGACTGTTGTCAGCTCGCCAAAACCCATTCAGGAAGTCCACCTCTGGCACTTGGCGGAGGGTATTTGAAGATGCAGGAGCACATGTCCTGCGTGGATCTCATCCCCAAAGGCAGTTGTACTTTCTCAATGTGGAAATCAGAGGTAGAATATCCCCACTTCGTGCTGAAATCTCAAGTTCTGTTGAATGCTGAAGCCCTCGTCTCCCTGTTTCTGCATTTCTACCCCGTGTTTTCTCATGGTAACACATCTCCATGTCAGCCTTCTCTTTGGGACATGCAACTACCCTCTTTTCAATCTTATTCCAGAATTTGAAGGTCTACGGGACATTGGGTCTTATGCTCAACCAGTATTTTTCAAGAAGCATCCTTTGTGTGATTAAAGTCACACCACATGCCAGTTTATAACTGATGGCACTTTTGGAGCCAGAGTAGGGGCATCCATTGTTTTTAGCTGCCAAAATATATCAGAGAGAAGAGGAAAAGGGCATACAAGAAACTAAAAAATTGGTGTATTTAGTTCAGAGAGCACTTCTGAACCATAAATTAGCTTGTAAATGACAGAAGGAGAGACCGTCACACCTTTGGCGTAGTGACCTCTCAGCTGTGGAACAAGCAGAGAAGTAAATGCTGGGACTTGGCTTTCAGGGAGGGTTTCTGTGCCACAGCAACTTGGGGACAAAGAGCCATCTCAGCAGAATCAGTGCAGGCAGAAGCCCTGTACATGTTATGTTGAAGAGGCAACGGTTGACGGAGCCTCCTTTGCGGCATTACCAGCCCAGTCTGGCCAGCTGCAGGTCCATCCTTCAGCAGAGAATTTTGGGAATGCCTCTTGCTCCTCTGCACCTTCCACATTGCTTCCTCCTTGCTGAGATCCTTTTGGAAAGAACTCACTTTTCTGCCACGCTGGTGGTTACTTAAGAGACTTTTATATGTATATCTAAACTATAAAGCCTTGAATAATTTACTCTTTTCCAGGGTTAAGGGGAAGATGTATGATGTTTCCTTCTGGCAGGCGGCAGCTGATCTTGATTCTCGTGGAAAAACAATTGTACTTAATGGCTTCTTTCTCCGAGCAGATCCAGGAGCAGCTACTGCAAGTTTATGTCACCATGTGGTAAATAGACCTGTCTTCTTGTGTTTTACAACACAGTGAAATCTTCCCGCTGATCTGATTGCTCTATGGGGTAGCACAGCCTGCCAGGAAGAAAAACAGGGCATCACCCTTCAAATCTATGGCAGGAGTCACATCCCCCCAGCAGCAGAACCAAGGCTGCAGTAACATGGGCCAAAGATTGATCTGCATTACTTTTCTAGAAAAGGTCCCAACAGGCCTTAAATCAGACTGAACTGGCTACGGAGCTTAGCAAAGCTAGAATCTTTCCTTTTGCAAGTATTTGGGATCTGAATAAAACATAACGTAGACCTGAATCTCAGTAGTTTACTGAACCAGGCAGATTTTTTCCATGAATTAGAAGATACCAGTATAGGTCTATGGAAAGAGTACCTGTGAGATGGTATTCTCAGAGTACTCAGCCTCAGCATCCTGAGCTGCTCTGTGCTCAGGGAAGCCAGGGGTGTGGGGGGAATATCTGTGTCTCTGGCAAAGCGCTGTGCTTGGCTGGCTCAGCACGACGAGGAAAGGGGGGAGTGGAATCTAGTGGTGGTCCCCAAAGTCTCCGCTTGGATTGACTTCTCTACGCATGACTGCAGGGCAGATGGGGGTACTCAGGCTCAGCTTTTCCTTTGATCCCGTGTGTTTGGTTTGACTCTAAAACTTGATGCTTTTTCTTTCACGCTTCTCTTTAAAAGCAACAACACGCTACAGTGATGTAGCTCCGAGTAAGACTCGTCAATAGTGTTGGGCACAGAGTAGTTAGGGCTGGGTTTGGCATGCTCTGTTCTCTTCTGCCCCATTCCCACCCATGAACTGGTCCCGTGGATCAATGATACTTGCTCAGGTTCCTCAGCTTCACGTTTTCTTTTTAGATTGGCTTGGGTGGCTTTTGGATTCATCTAAACTTAGAATTTCCAGGGATGCATCCCTGGGGTGAATGATGATTGCATTACATGGAGTGTGTCACGTGGAAAGTTGGTATGTGCTGTCACCTGCAAGTTCTTGTTAGCAAGAGTTGCATCCAGGAGTCTTTCTTTGAAGGTTGAGGCATTTTTTTTAATCTAAAAAAAAAATTATTAAAAACGAGCGGCAGGAGTTCCAGCTCTGAGCTGTGAAGAGTAGAACTCAAGCGCCCTTACAGCTTTGAGCTGCTGGAAATTTCATCTTTATGTCTTTCATAAATCCATATATTTTTTTTGGAGCTGGAGCGGTAGGTATGCTCTGCATTGATCCCAAACAGCGTGAAACAACCGTAGCCTGCAGCGTTCCTTCAGCAGAGCATCCCCTCCCTTGTCATGTCCCCTGCTCGCTGCCGATCCCACGCAGCCACCCCAGCGGTTCCCTCTCTGCCGGCAGCTCGCTGGGTGCGCCAGGCAAGCTGCAGACTTGGCCTTTGAAAAGAAATCCCATAAATTAATGGGAATGTATTGCTATTGTTCTGTATAATCTCTTTATTTGTAAAGCACATGATGCAAAGGTACTCCTGCTGTTGAACTCAAAGCAACAAATCTATCTATATATCCCAGTCTACACTACATTATGAAGAGATACGTGAAGAAAAAAAAGCAATAGAAATAAATAATAAAACAGGTAACAATGATAGCAATTCTAAACACTCACGGAAAAAAAAAGTTTCTATATTTCTGTAAAAGCAGTGTGAGATTGAATGAACTGAGCTGCAAGTGCATCCATCCTCAGAGTTAGCATGTGAACATCTCCTGGCAGAGGGGGAATTGCCTTTTTTCCAAGGCTGCCTTCTCGCCTTGTTCAGAAGAGAGCATAAGAATCCTGGGTGCAATGTCTGGGGTTTGGAAGATTTTTGGGGGGTTTTTGGAATTTCTGGAGTTCCTGGGGAGATGGAGGCCATGGTGGGGGAGGACAATGCCCCCCTCAACCATCTGACAACGAAGAGCAACCACAGTCCTGTTGAACTCAGTGGGAAAAAACAGCCTTCTCAGAAGCACGTTTTTGTTCATGTAACTTTCTCAAACATTATTCTTCTGCCTCTGCTGAAGGAGGAAACTTGGGTTATGAAGAATAATAGAGAGAAATTAACATTAATCTCACAAACAGGAAATTATTCAAATGTAGCCTTTACGCGCAATGCCAGTGAGTTCAAAGTAGAGGGGAAATTTAAAACATTTATGTTACTCCATTTCCAAGATCATAAAACACAAGCAAATGGTCTGGCACTGGATGCTAAATTTCTTAAGGAACTCGCTTTAATTAATTAAACTAGTAAACCAATTAATGGATTTACTTGTAAATTCTTAGAAAATTAATTCTGTGCCCAAAGAGTGTTTTAAATCTGCGAAGGAGGCAGTGTGTATTTCATACAGAGCTTGAATTCCCATTTTAGAAGAATCCAACTCAACGCTGACTTTGGAGACACAAGCGATGCGTTCATAATGCTTGGACCTTCCTCCAAAACCAGCGCTTCCCGGCAGCTGAATCGGGGGGATGTATTTGCAAAACAAAACTGGTGCTGCTTGCACAGCCCCCAGCCCCTGTCCTAGCTCCGTGCTACGCGGCAGCCTCTGGCTTTACATGGAATGTGGATGTCATAGAATCATAGAAACATTCAGGTTGGAAAAGACCCTTGGGATCATCACGTCCAACTGTGCATCCAGCTGGCTCCTTCACCGGCCATCTCTGCCCTCCTCCTACTTAAAACCTCTTTAATCCGACCCAGCGGTACCTCAGATGCGCAGAAAGCAAATCGGGTAACCCGGGTCAGCAGCAGATTAAAGCCCTGAGCATCCTTTGCAGTTGCTGAAAAACAACTGAGCCAAAGTGGTGGGGATTTAAACAAAAAGCTAATTTACTTTTCCATGCAGAAACCTTGTTCAGATTCCCTGCCAGGCTCAGGGGTGATGGGGCCATCTTCGGTACCTCGAGCTCTTCGCAATCCAAAGTGACACATACATGAAAAGTTCGTAATCAAATGTGTCCAGGCTCCTGAGAACACAAAATCAGAGACAAGCAGGTTCCCAAGGGTTCTCAGCAGTTATCACTTCCCTTCTTTCCTAGCAGGTAAAGCCATGTTTTTCCCTTCACGTGGCAATCTGGCTCTGGCTCTTGGCATCCGTTGGTCGGGGTGGGGGGCTACCCCATCCCTGCCTGCCCCAGGGGGATGCCAGCTTTGCCCAGTGCTGCCCTGCCTTGGCTCCGAGGGGAAGCAGAGCTGCAGAGCAATTAGGAACGAGAGCATTTTGAAGAGGAAAATGGCAGGGGAACAAAAATTAGCATTTGCACTGTGATGTTTTTGCTGTTTATTAATAAACAAGCTGCTCCAGGGGCAGGGGAGGCTTCAAGCATTCCTTAAGTCTCTTGCTTTTTTTTTTTCCGCTTGTTTTGTATGTTACAGGAGATTTGTAATGTCTTCCCACATGTTGAGTTTCTTATTTTCATGAGAGCATCTATGGAATAATTCCTCTGGAGCTGTCAGCTGTGCACTGCAGGGCTGATTTAAACATCCAGAAACACTTTAGTGATACGGCGTGGATCAGCAGCTCGTTGAGGAGTTGTGTTAATTAGCAACAGGTCTGCTTCCTCCTAGAGAAGCAGAATGACTTCTGAAATAAGCCTTTTCACGGAGGGAAAGCATGTAGCTCCTGCCACCCAAAACCTGGGTGGTGATGGCGCTGGTGACCCCAACATGGGTGTCCTGGTTCTGCAGTGGCAGCACGGCTGCCCCTGGTGACAGCCTGGTTACAGCAGCACGGCAGAGGATAACGTGTCCTTGATTCCAGGTAGATCCATGCTGAAGGAGTCTTTGGGGTGACACCGCTAGCTCTGCCCTGCATCACGGGAGGTCAATTAAAACCCTACTCTATTAATGGGTTTGTTCTTTCCCCTCAGGCCTCCAGCTCTTCAGGTGGAAAAATGCAGCTTCTGGAAACTGAGTTCTCAAAAACCATCCGGGAGCTCATCGAACTCCACCTGCTTCGCCAGGACAGCATCCCGGCCTTCCTCAGCGCCCTCACCCTCGACCTCTTCAGCCGCCAGACCATCGCTTAGCGTCCCACTGCCAGCCACCAGCCAGGTGTGGAGCACTCCTGGGCAGGACACTTCAGGTAGCAAGGACAAATTCCCCCCTTGATTTGTGGTATTGGTTTGCTTCTGTTTTTCAGGGAACTCCTTCTTCTCCCTTCTTTCATGATGATTCCCAAACCCCACCAATTCCTCTGAAAAGCATCATTTCCCTTCTGTGGGAGGACGAGTCTAACTCCATCCCAAGGCTCTCCCATGCCAAGACCCAATCCCTGCCTTTGAACTGGGAAATGTGTTCATCACTGCCAAGACTGTCTCACCATCTCTCTGGGCATATGGTGGGAACTGCTGGTTTGAGGAGCCACAACATGACCGTTCACAGCTTTTCCCAACAGGATCCCCAAATCTGGGTCCCAGCAGAGAGATGAGCTTTGCGGGAGGCTGGTGCATCCTGCCCCCGTGGTCATCCTTTTCTGATGGGAGCCAAGGGTTGGTCTCTGAGGACAGGGACCTGGGGAAGGATCAGTCATGGGTAGCAGGTTCTTTGCGGATACCTTCTGCTCTTGCAAACAGCTCATCACTCAGCAGGGTTGAAATTATTTTCAAGATATCCAGTTACCTGAGTCTGCCATCGCTCAGCAGACAAGCACAAGCATAAATGGCTGTTTGAAGACCCTATACCTGTGTTGACACCTCCGTGTTTTGTGGTGTGCTCAGATGTCACTGGCATGGTTTTTGTTCCTCGCTGAGACTTTTGGGCTCTTGATTATCTCAGGACTGCAGAAGGTGGGGGGCGTTCTTTGGGGTGTACTCATCTTTCTGGGGGTCTCCCTCCTATCCTCTGTGGTGGATGGAGCACCCCCTGAAGTCTGACATTTTGTGGTACCATGGATGTAGCTCTTCTATCATAAGAATAAAGTGTCACTTCCCAAACTGGATGTCTGACTCCTTGCTTTGGGGTATACGCTGTGCTCCCCCTGCGCTGTCCCACATGTAAAGCGTGGCAATGAATCGTCCATCAACGGTCTGATGCTGGTTCTGTTTTGATAAGGGAGGACGTAGTTATCTCAGTTTTTTCCAAGCAAGCCTCACTCAGCTTGTAAACCAGATTAGTTTGTTATGAACTTGTGTGTATGTTGATTTCCTCTTGATACCAGCAGGAACGTACTTGCTAGGTTTGGAGAGGAGGTAGCAGTAAGCGGGCTACAGAGTTAGCTTAGAGGCTCTTAGTGGCTGCAGGGTTGGCCATGCGTGCTGGAGTCACCCTGGGACCTGTCCATGTGTCTACAGGCACAGAAGACAGCTGCTGTGGACCCAGCTGATCAGAGATGGAGGGACAAGCGTGTGCTCTGGGGAGGCTGCAGCCCCCATCTCCCCAGCCCTCCTCTCCGCAGCATTTGCAGGGAAGCGCAGTAGCAGAAGTTTGGCGTTTCCTCTTCTGCTTGAAGAAGTCCTGGTGGAAGATGAATTGCCTGACATGCTGTGCCAGGGGAACGCTCCCTGATTCATATGCGCGACGTGGCACTGAGAGTCGCCTTCCTCAGTCATGGGGAAAATGAATCATGACGTCAACCGCATTCGGCTCCTCCGCCAACACAATAGCGTATCCTGGCTGCCTCTGAAAATTTTTCTCCTGGCTCCTTGCAGGAGAAATGAAGTAATTAATAAGTTTACAATAAACCCTCTATCTTAGCAAAACACGAGTGAGGCGAGAAGTGATGCTGGAGAGTGACAAGGGAAAACACGTTCTGCTCATTGGAAAGTTGCCTCCCAAGAGTGAAAGGATAATAAGTTGGGGTAGAAGATGCAGTAGTCATCTGAGACGCCTTTGGTGGGGAGGAGAGACAGATAAATTACCGCTCTGCACCCCATTCTCCCAGCAAGACTGATTTGTTCAACTAAGTTTAATACAGCGGCACGGCTCAGGAGAGGTGTGTTGTGAGGACAGGGGCTTGGCTAGATGTGCCGGCGTGGTGCAGCACCCAGTCCTGCTCATGGCCTGGGATCTGCGGGGGGACCTGTCCTGCTTTGGCCAGCAGCATCCCTGCCCTGCTTACGGCCATACACTGCTGCACAGCGAGCAGGCTTGGCACTACGTGAAACTGGGACTTTTGAGAAGGTTGGCTGCTCTGAGGCTCACTGCTGGAGGCCTGAGAGCATTCATGTGGAAGGTTTGAGCATTGCAAAGCCACCTGGACCACCTGTGGGACACAGGTTTGCCCTAAGACTCCCCAGTTTCTCGCTCCAACGCCAAATTCAGGATGAAGCCCCAAACATACAGCTGTACCCTGCCCCTGCAGCAGCTCCCATCTCTGCCGACATCATTATACTGCTCATCTCAGCCATGACGGAGCTGCAAGGAGTAACTGCGATGCTGGATTTCACAGTGATTGCTCCTCCCATGCCGAGCTACCTGGGGCTCAGCAGCCCATCGTGGAGCTCTGCCACTGTGTTCAGTGCCCCCTGCACTCCCACCCCCCAGGGCACTGCAGGCAGAGACCCTGGTACAGCAGGTTTCGGCCTCCCCAGTTGGTGGGGGCACAGATCCCATCTGACTTCAGCTCATCACTTGCAAAGCTCCAGCCCTGTTTATGGAAAATCTCTTTAGAAAATCTTGGGCGATTGGTAATAAATTTGCAGTTGGTTGGAGGGGAGAGGCGGGAATGTTAACAAGTGTGCGTGTGCTCGCTGGGTCTCTGTGCATGCTCACTAGGTTTATGTGCTATAAGCTGTAAAATATGATTTATGAATGCACGGCTGGGGGACTGTGTGTGTCAGAGCTCTGTCTTGTTTGCAGTGATGCCTGAAGCTTCCCTTCACTCAAACTGCTTGTGAGCCCCTGTTCCTCTACTGATCAACCCTTTTCATCTGCGCACATATATAAATACCAAACAAGGGTAAAGAGCTGTCAAGTCCTGCCATATGGCCCTTGAAAGCAGCAGAGCTCTTGGCTAGGGCAGGTATTGCAAAGTTCATGCCTCCCCTAAGGCCATGTCTCTGAACCCGGAGCCTTTTGCTCCTGCTTTGTGCCTCCTGGTTCTTGGCATCATTGTGTGTTGGTTGCATGAGTCTCAGAGTTGTCCTGTAAGTGTGCGATGCCTGAAAAGGAACTATACAGAACATTTTGAGGTGAACCATGAGAAGGTTTGGGTTCATGGACATTAGTTATGGATCTTCTCCATGTAACGCTCTAGGAGGAAGGGAAGGAGAGCAGCGAAGAGCATGAAGCCCTGGGCTCCAGCTGGTTAGGAGAGCTGTGACAGAGGGGGACGAACATCCCCAAATACCTCCTCTTGTTGCTGCTGGGCTGGGAGGAGAGCTGCAGTGGCTCGTGGGGAACTGGGGTATGGAAAGTGATGGGGCAAGAGCGATACACCTCCTGGCTCTTGGATTTTCTGCCTGTCCCGGGACCGGCCAGCGAGGCCCTTCCGCACTGCAGGCTGTGTAAATTGGAAATACCGCTTCCCGATCGTGGCCTCCCAACACCTGTCAGCAGTGAAGGTTATCTGACCCCAAATGCAGCCGTACAGGGAGCCTGGATGGGTGGCAGCATCCCACCGGGGCTCATGATCGCTGGGGCTTGGACACAGCATCCCACAGCTGCAGTGCCAGCGTTGCTGCCGGTTCTCCACTCGCTACAATGCGCTGAAGAAGCACGGAGCAGCACCTGTCCTTTTCATTTCCCCAGCCCATCAACAGGCTGAGAGACAGCTGAGAACGGTGTGAGTTGGGCTGACACATCAAAATAATCCTCAGGGGAGAGAGGCAAAAGCCTTGCTAGGACATCTCCCTGGTAATGCCGGACTCTGCAGCCAGTGCTACTCGATGCAGGTCAGGTTTGGTTCCGTTAGAGCTTTTAGGTGTTCTGAGATGTCAGGAAAATGATGACAGTGTCAGATGCCAGGTGACCGTAGCTAACCACGGCACATTCTTGACGATGCAAGTGTAGTAGCTGGGGAGGACAGAACAGGCTCTCCGCGCTGGTGTAAATCACATTCGTGCTTGCCTGCTGTGACAGGAGATTTGGATTTAATAGCAGCGATGCTAAAAGTTGCATGATATTTAAAAGCTACAAAACGCGCCCACTCTGATCAGGGGAGGGTTATTAAATAAATAAATAAATAAAAAAATCAGCAAAGCTTTTTCACGAAATCTTTTTTAAATATTAAAATCCCATCCTTCCCAACAGGAAAGCTTTTCAGGCTAAGAGGAGCGACTGAACGGCATCTGATGATATCGCATTGACACAAGTGTCTAGAAAAATAGGGTAGGAATGTGTGATCTCTTCTGTAAAAGGAACCCTAGCTAATAGAAAATATGCTGATGCTACTTTTAATTTCATGACTCAGGTTTGCTGTAAAATTGATGGGAATCTGTGTTGGAGCTCGGTTACATTAAAACAGTTCTCTGCTGCTTGGGATTTTTCCATTTCTTGTTTCTCTTTGGGAAGATTATTCTTGTAAATTTTTTTGGTACTCCAGGGACTCGTAGATGTTATTTGAAAGGGAGTGGTGATTCTGGCATCCAAAGCAAATAGGAGATTCTGCGTAGAAATCACTGGCCAAAGCCTTCGCTAAGGGACTGCTGCAGACCCCAGTCCTGTGCAGCCGTCCCAGCAGCTGCTCCTGCACCTTCCACCCACGGTGGCTTGTTCTCCAGGCTTCCTCATGTGCATGTTTTCCCTCAAAGCAAATGCAAGGGACAAAACAGAAGGAAAACACACTTTGAAGAAAATGCTGCTGTGTAAGTTAGGGAGCACAAAGGCAGCAGCTTGATCCTGGAGGGCTCGGAAGCAGCTCACGTCTTTGGTCTCTACCCAAACCATGTTCCTCCACCAAAGCACATTCCTCTCCTACTTCCCCAACATGAGATGAAGCACCTCGCGGCCCGTTCGTCTTCTTTGTGTTGTTTCCTGGCCCCGAGCTCCAGTGCTGATGAGTTTATTAGTGTTGCTAATTTTACCTGATGCTGCTTCCTTCTCTTCGTGACAGGTTGCGATTTTTTGAACTCTTAACTGATTGAGCTCT